TAGCTTGACTTCTCACACTGAATGAGCTTAGGGTGGATTGTAGAGAGCAAATGAGGTCTCCTCTGTCCTGCAGGTGGATGAATCATCTGGCTTAGCAGGCTCTCTTGATAAATCTGCAGTTGAGTACTCAATGGCCCTTTTCTCATAGTAAGCTTCTTGTTGAGCAACTGGATAGTCTCCTTCTATAGACCATGCTGAAGTGAATTCACTCCCCTTTTTGCTGACCAGAATGGATGCTTCATCAGTTGGGACGTCCTTGATTGGGAGTGGTACTTGGTTGGCTATCCCATGGAGCTTCTTGATTTGATCCTTCAGCTCTCTCACAGTGCCTGTTAGCTCCCTTATGGCTTTATCCTGCCATTTGGACCTCTCCTTGAGTTCTAACCAGCCATCTGGAGCAGAATTGCTAGACTCTAGCAGCTTATCACGATGTTTGGTCGAGCTAGAGTTCTCCAGACGAGTTGTAGGCTTGCTCAAATGTATACTCGAGTCAGTTGGTTGAGCATGTGTTGAGCTTGCTTCATATGCCACCTTAACCTCTGTTTTTGACCCAATCAAGCCTTTAAAGACCTCTGACCCTGCTACTTCCTTGTGTGAATCTAGTGATTTACCACAGCTCAAGGTTTCAGTGAGAAGATATCCTGCTTCACCACTCTTAGTCAAAGAAGTTTGTTGGTGATCTTCCTCAGCAACCTCCTCTAGCTGTTCATTAGCTAGGCAATCCATTACCTTAACTACGAAGGTCTGTCCTTCAATTGTTGGCTTCCTCGTGGCATCATTGATGTCAAACTTCATTTTGAAATCATTTCCCAGATTAAGATCAATCTTCCCATTCTTAACATCAATGACAGCTCCAGCAGTGGCTAAGAAGGGTCTTCCTAAGATTAAAGAATCTTTTGGTTCATCCATTTCTAGCACTATGAAGTCTGTAGGGATTTCAGCATTTCCAATCTTAATAGGCAAATCTTCTAATAACCCATGAGGAAATCTGATAGACTCATCAGCCAGGATCAAGGAGATGTTGCAAGGTTTATACTTGCTGAAACCCAGTCTCTTGGCCACAGAGAGAGGCATGAGACTTTTAAAAGCACCTAGATCGCAGAGGCAGTTACTGAAGGCTAAAGTGCCTAGAGAGCAAGGTAGAGTAAACGAACCAGGATCTCCCAATTTCTTGGGAATAATCTTCGTTTGGATGATTTCATTGCACTCATGACTCTCCATCCCTTGCACTTCCTTAATTCTCTCCATTACCATGTCTTTCAAGAACTTGTGAGAATCCGGAAATAGCATGAAAGCGTCAATGAGAGGCATCCTGGCTTCTAACTCTTGATGTGCTCAGCAAACATTGCTCTGTACTTCTCAATTATGTCCTGTTTGAACCTTCCAGGGAATGGTATTTTGGGCTTGTAGGGTGGTGGGATGAAAGCTTTCTTCTTACTCTTATCAACAACTGGTTCTTTGATCTGGGGGCTCTTAGCTTGATCACTAGGGGCAGCCTCTTGGTCAAGCTTAGTGGTGTCTTCTACTTGAGTTTCATTCTGAATAAAATCCTTCCCTTCTTGAATCTCACTGTCCTCAGTGACAGGAGCTTGGTTAGGTCGAGTTTGCAGCTCTCGACCACTGCGAAGGTGAATAGCATTAACATGACCTTTCTGATTCTGAATAGCTTTCCCTGGCAGTTGCCCTGGATTCGTAGGCGCAGAAGTAGAAGCAATTTGGCTCTCCACGTACTTCAACCTGGAGTTTAGAGCCTCAAACTTGATATTGAGATCATTGAAGGAGCAGTCTACTTTGTTGTGAATCTCAGCCATTTTCTTATCAAGAGCTATAGCACCAGCTGCTTGACCTTGTAGAAGCTGCTGAAGCATTTGCTTCATGTCTTGATCTTGTGCAGGTGGAGCTTGCTGGGTTTGATGTGCAAAACCGGGTGGTGGATTCTGTTGGTGAAAACCTCCACTGAACTATTGCTTTGGTGCAAACCCTTGATTGTATGGTATGAAAGGCTTGGACTAATTCTGTTGTTGTTGAGGGTAAACCTGATCCTGAGGGTTGGCAACATTCGTGCTCCGGTAAGATAGATTTGGATGAGCATGCTGGTAGGGGTTGTAGCCCTTGTTTTAACCAGCTTGGTTCTGTATGTAGCTGACTTCCGCAGCGTGAGTAGTCTCCCCCTCTTGGATTTGATAGTGCTCTTCTTCAGTGATATAGTGGACTTGCTTCTGTTGAGTAAGCAGAAATTTATCCAGCTTATCGTTGAGAGCCTGAATCATCTCCTTACTATGCTTCGCATCCGGATCTCCGATACCTCTGTTGGAGCGATCAAAATCTTCATTATAATTACCGTCGGACTGAGCTAAGTTCTCAACCAATTCCCAACCTTCTTCAACATCCTTATTCAAGAAATTCCCATTTGAAGCAGTGTCCAGGACCATTCTGAACTTGGGCAGAGCTCCTCTGTAGAGTGTACTGAGCAAAGAAGCTTTCTTGAAACCGTGATATGGACATTGTGTAGTGTAGCCTTTGAATCTCTCCCAGGCCTCACAAAAGGATTCAGACTGTTTCTGGGTGAAACTGGAGATTTCATTCCTTAGCCTTGCAGTTCTTGAATTTGAGAAGAACTTTTTCAACAAGGCCGTCTTACAATCGTCCCAAGATGTTATGGAGCCAGGAGGTAGTGTCTTCTCCCATTGGTGTGCTTTGTCTCCCAGCGAGAAGGGAAACAGACGCAGCTTGAAACCGTCTTCACTAACACCATTTATCTTGGTGAGGCTGCAGAGCCTGTCAAAGTTATCCAAGTGGTATAAGGGATCCTCCATAGGCAACCCATGAAACTTGTTCCCTTGTATCATTGAGATCAATCCACTCTTGATCTCGAAATTGTTGTTCTGGACAGGAGGTGGAACTATGCCCTGTCTCTGTTGATGGTTTCTTGGTGCATCCCCAGCACCAATGTTCCTTGGTATCCCAACTCCTTGATTGTCTTGTTCTTGTGGTTCCATGGCTACTGGATTGTGCAGTTCACAACCGTCTCTAGCTCTACGTTCTTCCAACTCACGGGCTAACTGGTTGATGTTGTCTTTGTAGCTGATGAGGTTGCTGGAGCCTTGAGAACGAGTTTGCATGCAAAGTGGCTAGTCTCGACGTGTAGACTCGACTTGAGGTCGAGTTGGTACCTGGAGCACAAAAACAAGCAGCTGAAGAGAGTAGTTAGTAACCAAAGTAAAGAAAGAACTTGATCTTAGCAATTCTAAAATCTTGAATGTAACAAGCAGACACCCAAATGGCAACAGCGCCAAATTGATACTAGGATTTTACTATCAATTACCCTAGATTACTATCATGTCATTGCAACAATTTAGGTTATCAATCTAATCAGGTGCTCCAATTATCAATCAAGATGTGCTCAGAGATAACTAAGTCAAGCCAAGCAGAAAAGAGGTTTGTTTATCTAACAATCCTAAGCGAACATGCATAAAAACGATAAAACTACAGAACATGAGTGAACATGCATAAAGAGAAATAGCTATCGATACTAAGCAATAAGCAAGCAGCAAGTGTAGAGAATAGGTAAACAACAAGTAAGCAAGATTCAAGCAATCAATAGAGATAAAAGGTCTTGAGGAATGGGGTAATCGATTATAGCAGTCTCCTTAGTCTATCTAGGTGGTTAACAAACTCAATCAAGCTATCCCTAGACAATAGATTCGAATACAAATCAATCCACTCTCGTGACAGAGATTCTCAAGCTAAATCACTTTCATGCTCAATTCTCATTGAAGAAATATAACCTAGCAGGCATTATGAGTCAATCTAATATAGTCAATAAGCATTCTAAACATCCAATCTCTTGGGCTAGAGTATGCAAATCTCTGGAAAAGTTTGTTCAGACATTTCATCAAACACCTTGTGGGCGTGGAAATGTCTGAGATCAATTTCCAATTGATCAGAGAAGAAATAGCATTAAGATCTACTAAACCAGAAGGGAAATCAAGCAATTCTACACTTAACCACCTAAATATACTAAGGATTCCACACCTAATCTAACCCATCCTCAAGAACCCTAATCCACTACTCAAGAACACTGAAGAACATCATGCATAAAAACCCAGAAAATTGCATAAACCCAGAAATCATTAAAAAGCAAGTATGTTATAGATTAGAAGGAGATCTACAACTTTGATGAAGAAATGAAATCCAAAAACTCAAAGGATCAAAGGGAAAAACGATTACAAAACTAGGGTTTTTAGAGAGAGCAGCGGAATATCTGCTGGGTAAAAGGAATATCCTCTGGATAATAGCGTGAACCCCTATTTATAGGAAATACTAGGTTGCCCTAATTTGGCTACAAGACAAAATAAGAAGTCGGCGGAGGACCCCCTCGACGTGTAGTCGAGCCCATGACGTCGAGGCCGTGTGAAAATCCAAGGTTGCTCCTTTCTGGTGTCCTACTCGACGTGACGTCGAGTCCAGACGTCGAGGGGGAGTGATTCTTCAAATTTGGTTCCTTTTGAGAACCTATTCGACCTGGGGTCGAGTCCAAACGTCGAGCCCATGTCTTGGTGGTTTCTGAGCACCTGCTCGACCTCCCGTCGAGTCCAACCAGTCTTTTGCACAGGGTGATATGTCTCCATTAAAACCACCATAATTCTTGCATCAAAGCTCTGATTTGCTTGAAATCACCTCCGTTGGAAAGGTAACTCAATTTCCTATAACTTGTATGAAGAGCTCTGAAGCTAAATCGCAATGAAAGACTTCCATCTGAGTCGATCTTTTAGGGACTTCAAACTGGTTCTGAATCATCAATTCTCTTCTTTGCATCCATTAAGTCCCAAATAAGCTCCAAATACCTGAAACACGTCCAATATGCAATATGCTATGCCATGCAATGCAAATCGTACTAAGTGATGAAAAGAGTAAGAGAAAGACTATGAATGCAATGAAATATAGAGGAAACTTAGCTAAATACACGAGAAAAGTATGCTCAAAAGCGTTTAAATACAGAGATATCAATGGGTAACCTCAATTTTTAGTTACTGCATAACTTTGGAGGTAATGGATCCAGTAGACAATTCGATTTATGAGTTCGAAGCGAAAGTTAGGCATGCGGTTGAGAATAAAGGTTGCTTGAGTGCAATTACAACTGGATGCAGATTAAAGCCTAAAACTCCAGGTAAATGTACGTAAATGCACCTTTGTTTTCTGTCATACGCGTTGGCATGTTTTAGTTAAAAAAACATATCTTCCAGTGTGTGTGTCTTGGATGTCACTATTTTCATTTCGCTATATTGGTTATGTCAACTTGTGTCTTTTAGAGGAGGAAGACAAATATTTTTTATGGAACAAAGATCTCGTGGATGATTTCTTCAAAGGTGATATGCCCGAGTGGATCCGGGAAGATGCACTGACGGGAAGCGATAAGCTGCAATACTATGAGGTGAGCTTTTCATGCGTTAAAGATTAAAATATTAAGGATGTAATGTTGTTGACATGATACAGATGAAAGAATCAGAGTTAGAAGAAGAGAAGGAATGGCTTCATCTATACGCGGAACTCGCTTTGTTCTCCAAATGGAAATCTAAACTGGTGAGGAAAAAGACTTGATCACCAAAAACAAAGAGAGGGGGATATTGTTTATTAGGCTATGATCTGCTTAAAGAAACTTGGTTTTTGGTGCTTGTTAATGCAGGATGCGCTGGAGCATGCAAAGCCTTTTAAGATGAAGAAGATTGTTGTAAGAACCAAAGAAAATGCGGAGTCGAAGAAGAAGGTGAAGGCCGAGAATGCAATCTTCTACATTAGCTTCAAAACCCGTTGTGGTCGAGAGTGCAATTTTATCATAAGGAAAACAACTGATGGAAAGCCAGACCATTTTTCTCTTGAAGTCAAGTGTTTCATGTGAGAGTAGTCCTCAAAATTATATCATAAATAACATTTTATATATCATTCCCAAAATTATCATGTAAATGAGAAGTAATGTTAAAAAAAACCATTTGGTTACATAATTTTATCAGTTTTTTTTTTTTTTGGTGAAAGAATTAGATTTTTTATTTATATATAGTATAATTAAGAAAAACGATTTGGTAAGTGAGAAGTATAATTTTTTTTAATTTTTTTTAATTTTTTTTAATTTTATCAATTAATTGAGAGAGAGAAAAAAATGAATTTTATTGATAACTCTCACTGGCGAAGAACAGAAGCAGAATCAAATGTCATTGTTTTATCAGCAAACCTCTAAATTGATCGAAAATCGTATTCGATCTCCATTCTCATTTTCAAATCCGCTAATGAGAGAGGTTTAAGAGTTGCAATCTCTCTCTCTCTCTCTGTCTCTGTCTCTCGCGAAAACGCCAAACATTTTGAAATCCCCAAATAAGGGTTTAAGCAAAAACCCTACGAGTTCATGCCCAAATGCCCAATCCCAATCCGTATCAGCTTCTTCAGCTATTTCCTCAACGAAAGTCGACTCCTTTCGAGTAACCCAGTTAAGTTCTCTATCCATCTTCGTTTCTCTGCTTCTTCTGTTTCAGTTTCTCCAAACCCATCAATGGAAGTGGAGACTCCATTGGAAGCTCCAATCTCGGAGCAGATGTTTAAATCAGCTCCAAAAATGGGTTCTTTCAAGTTAGGTGATTCTACTTTATCTTCAATGATTGAGAATTACGCCAATTTGGGTGATTTTGCTTCGGTGGAGAAGCTTTTGAGTCGAATTAGATTAGAGAACAGAGTGATTATAGAGCGTAGTTTCATTGTTGTGTTTAGAGCTTATGGGAAAGCTCATTTACCTGAGAAAGCTGTAGACTTGTTTCATAGGATGGTCGATGAGTTTCGATGTAAACGTAGTGTTAAGTCGTTTAACTCTGTGTTGAATGTGATTATAAACGAGGGTCTTTATCACCGAGGGTTGGAGTTTTATGATTATGTTGTGAATTCCAACATGAACATGAATATTTCTCCTAATGGGTTGAGTTTTAATTTGGTTATTAAGGCTCTTTGTAAGTTGGGATTTGTGGATCGAGCTATTGAGGTCTTCAGGGGAATGCCTGAGAAAAAGTGTTTGCCTGATGGGTATACGTATTGTACATTGATGGATGGGTTGTGTAAGGAGGAAAGGATTGATGAAGCGGTTTTACTGTTGGATGAGATGCAGAGTGAAGGGTGTTCACCGAGCCCGGTAATATATAATGTGTTGATTGATGGATTGTGCAAGAAAGGGGATTTGTCACGGGTGACAAAGCTTGTGGATAATATGTTTCTTAAGGGATGTTTTCCTAATGAGGTTACTTATAATACGCTTATTCATGGTCTATGTCTTAAGGGTAAATTGGATAAAGCTGTTAGTCTCTTAGAACGGATGGTGTCGAGCAAATGTATCCCAAATGATGTTACATATGGAACGCTGATTAATGGGTTGGTTAAGCAAAGACGAGCAATGGACGGGGCTAGATTGCTGATCTCTATGGAAGAAAGAGGGTATCGTTTGAATCAGCATATTTATTCGGTCCTTATAAGTGGGTTGTTTAAAGAGGGAAAAGCTGAAGAAGCTATGACCTTGTGGAAGAAAATGGCGGAGAAAGGTTGCCGGCCCAATATTGTTGTGTACAGTGCTGTTATAGATGGTTTATGCCGAGAAGGGAAACCAAATGAAGCTAAAGAAATACTTAATGGAATGATTAGTAGTGGCTGCTTGCCTAATGTGTATACGTATAGCTCCTTGATGAAAGGATTCTTCAAAACTGGTCTTAGTGAAGAAGCGATTCAAGTGTGGAGAGAGATGGATGAAACCGGATGCTCTCGAAATGAGTTTTGTTATAGTGTTCTAATCGATGGTCTTTGTGGGGTTGGGAGAGTTAAGGAGGCTATGATGGTGTGGTCAAAGATGCTCACTATTGGGATCAAACCGGATACAGTTGCTTATAGCTCAATGATAAAAGGTCTTTGTGGTATTGGCTCAATGGATGCAGCATTAAAACTTTACCATGAGATGTTATGCCAAGAAGAACCCAAGTCACAACCTGATGTTGTTACTTATAATATACTTCTCGATGGCTTATGTATGCAGAAAGATGTCTCTAGAGCAGTTGATCTCTTGAACTGTATGTTAGATAGAGGTTGTGATCCCGATGTTATTACGTGTAACACCTTTTTGAATACTTTGAGCGAGAAATCAGATTCTTGTGAAGAAGGGAGGAGTTTTCTAGAAGAGCTTGTTGCGAGGCTCTTAAAGCGTCAGAGAGTATCAGGCGCTTGTAAGATTGTGGAAGTAATGCTGGGTAAGTATCTAGCACCGAAGACCTCCACTTGGGCGATGATTGTTCCAGAGATCTGTAAACCAAAGAAGATCAATGCCGCCATTAATAAATGCTGGAGGAACCTGTGAACTTGAACATAGAGCAATTTTGTTCAGATCCCGCAATCCCGTTTCCACCTTAAAAGCCTCCATGCTTGGGAACTTGTGCGCTTCTGGAGTTATGGAATACCAGAAATGCGCTCGAAAAACAGGTAGATAGATCATCTATATTTACAACTCTAACTTTGTAAACATGTTACTTGATTATGCGCAACTAAAACCACATTAGCTAAAGTTTATAAGGACATGTTTGATTCGAGATCTTTGTTTCTATTTCTGTTTCTGTCATTGTTTGATTATTATTGCTTCTTGCAGCTTGAATCAAAATGAAAGTATCTTCGAGGTCTGATTGGTCTCTCTCCATGGTTCATGATCTCGAGATCCTAGGCAAAGAAAGGGAAGTCTGTGAAAATGATCCATGGTTCATAAGCAATGCTCCATAAGCCGAAGCTTAAAATTCTTGTCGTGATTCACTTACTTATTTCTTACCTTGAAACTATTATAAAGACTTGTATTTATGGTAACAATACATTCCCTTTAATAAAACTAGTAGGAAAATTTTGTTAGATTCAAGGTCACTGTTAAATACCATATGTCACAACACTCAGAAAAGAGAAGACAAAATAGTTTCTGGAATTCATTTTAAAGTCATACAAATAATAACCCTTTGATTCGGATTCAGACTAAAGACAATGATAAATCAGAAAATTCCACACTCACAAGATGCTATCAGCTCTTGATGGTAATCTCCTGAAAAAATTCTGAGGAATAGAAGGTATATCGAAAACCCTAACCCTAGGATGTCTCATGACGTAGAACGCAAGAACCGTGAGCAGTAACTTCATGGAGACGAAACAAATCACTCCACAGCTAACAAAACAGAACGCCAAGAACAGAGACGTTGCTCTTGGATCTCTCCAACTCAACAAACTTTTCACTCTTTCTCCTTGTGTAGCCAAATCTCCCAACACAATCATCATCCTTCCTGCGATCCCACGCAACCTATCATACCTTTTCTTCAGTATATCACCGGATTTCGCGCTTGGAAACACATCAAACTCCTCGTCTAGCTCATCGGGCAAAGCTGAATCAGCTTTAGACAGCTTTATATCCATGTGTGGAGGATGTCTCGGTCTCAAACCGAACCTGTATAACCCAAACACGAAGCAGTACAGTAGCATCGAGAAAACACAGTACTTGGGGAGGAAAACAATGAACAAGAAGACAATATGGATTAAAACCGTCGTCACGGGACTTTTCCATTTGCAAATCTCATCAAACCATCTCCAAGCATCCATCCAGCCATCGAAAAACGAGACAAGACGTTCAAAATTTGCTCTTCCTCTTCTTAGACTCCAAATGTTTGATCCCACATCGAGCATATACTCTACAACATCTCTTCCAAGTGCTGGCTCATTGCGCCCTAGCTTTATGCAGAGAATGTGAGTCGCTTGGTGCCTAAGGCTGTCTAATTGGTAAATAGACAATGGAGATATGTAATGCATTTCTGGAAGCAACGGCTCTGAGTATTTCTGAAGCATATCGATCATAGATGTCGCGGTGAACCTAACCGCCAGCTGAATCTCACCCATTTTCTTAACCCCGTCTGGTTTTAAAACGACTAAAGGGTAAGAATGTGTGTAGATCTTCGAGGTTACAAGGGTCGATAAACGTATCCTAATCTTCCCAATCCTTGAATCGTTGATCAAGCGGTTTTGGTTACCAGCACCAAACAAATTCAGATTATCGAAGACGCCGATTGTTATTACTGTGTAAGGATCATAGACTTCCCAAGTATACTGCTCGTTCCACTTTGGATCGAAAGTATCCACAATCGTCCTCGTTCTCACCCATTTTGTTCCGTATTTAGCCACACAATACGCATCGGTAGTTCCTCGACCATCTCTTGACTTCATCGGCACTAAACCCGTAGCATTTAACACTCCTAGCTCCAACACACCAATAGCTGGAGTCCATAGAAGTTTAGCAGAAGCTCTGTAATCGCTGCTATACTGAATCGATTCATCTAGAACGTGATAACCTCCGTCTAAAGAAACCCGCAAGTGAATCCTCCCGGCAAATCTCCTCATTTCTCCAGTCTCACCAATGTGTTCCACGTTGTACCACAATGCCGGGACCGGACCAGGAATCACCCTTCTCTCAACCTGAGATAGCTTTATCTCACACCTTCCTAAACACTCTTCTCTCGGCCCTACCTTGTCTTCAACGCTAAGTATCAAACTATCTTCAAACGGCTCAACCGCTACAAACATCATATCCTCATTCCAAACAGGATTCACACTCCTCGTCTGCGAAATCCGACTCCTCACAACAACGTTTCCAAGAAACCCTTTAATCAGAATCTCTGGATTGATCCGGTTCTGATGCAACGGAACCAAATCCTGAGCTTCAATTACATTAACTCGCAAGTACCAAAGCCTCGGTGAAAGATAAACTTTAGATCGCGTGTTCACCACGTTTTCTCCGGTGACAGTCGCCGAATCCGAATGCCAAGCCTCAGAGAAAACTTCATCAGCTTGTGTCCCAATCCAAACAGATAACATAATCTCTCCTCCGATCTTGACACCGTTTCTATCTTCCAATCTATACCATTGAGGAGCCAACGGACTATCAGGAGGAACACGTGTCGGAATCTCCGCCACATCGAACCTACATTTCCCGACAATATCGTCTTCGTTGGCATTATCTCTGTTTCGTACGACCACTTCTAAGATATTCCCTTGAAGACGAGTTTTCGTGAAGGCGAAGGTTTCGTGAAACTCAGGGTTAGGGTTTGAGTTTAAGCTCTGTTTTGTTCTTCCTTTATAGCTTCCGATTTTGACTGCGACGAAGGAGTCGTTGACCGGTAAAGCTCGAGCACGGACGATTCTAGCGTAGAGGAAATGCATCGCTTCCACGAGATCGAACGATGACGTCAGCTTCTCGCCGCCTTTACCACCACCATTGCCGATATTTGGACATGTCTCTTTCAACGAGAAATCGCCGTTACTGTTACCGTTACCGTTTCCGGTACCGTTCGCCGCCATTTCCTGTCGAATTTTGAAGAAAACAATTAGACGAAACGTTAAATAATCTCAAAATGTTCTGAAGAAAGATCCAAACCTGAACAGAGTAATGAATTTGTTGTGTTCTTCACAAACTTTTGAAATTGTAGGGTTTTTTTTTGTCTGTTTGTTTGGTCAACTTGATTTGCTGGGTTTAAGCAACAATAAAAGTGGAAATTATACGCTTAAATTTTTATTGAAATGATTTTGAAATTATGAGACTTTAATGTAATTTTATTTGACATTTATGGTTAATCAAAGTTAATTGCATGTGATATTCGTTAAGGGAATCCGGAAATAAAAGCAGATTAATTGATTTTAGAAACCGTTTTTGATTGGAGAGAAATCAGGAACCTCTTTCAAAAAATTTCGGTCTCGGTGATTTGCATCTTTCATGCATATTATTAACTCCAATATTCGAAAATTTTCATTTATCCACCATAAATGTTGATCTAGTATTTTAATTTTAATGGATGATCTATAAGATTATTAGCTAATCAACACAAAACATTGCAATCAAGTATAGGCAATGGACAATACCATGAAAGATAAGCTAACAATGGTTGATACATTTTAAGAATCGGACTAATTCTATACAAATGCAGTTCCAAAGAGTACACAATGACAAAATAACAACAAGTGACACTGTACATTTTCATGGAGTCTCTATGAGACAAGACTCCACTTTGTTTCTCATATATTTCTCATGTTTTACATTTGAGACTCTAGAAACTCCAAGATGGCCAAACCGGCTGCACCAATATCGTCATCTAACACATGTTCTGCCGGAGAATGACTTATTCCTCCACGACACCGGACAAACAACATTCCCACCTGCCGGGATAAAAACTCTCCCTTTAAGTTAGTTACTGAACCATGAGACAAAACCCACAATTGCTTATAAGTCCTATAACATGTGGATGTCTTTTGAAACTCAATTACCTTAGTTAAATGAGCCATAGCCATAGCATCATGTCCTGCTCCACTCATTAGCACGGGGACCTCGTCTTGAACCTCTCCTGTCATTTTCTTAAGTGCACTCTGAGCTGCTGATTTCAGCTGTGAACTCAATTGCGGGTCTGACATTACTGCGTCTGCATCGTGCTGCAATGATATGATAAAACCGGGGACGAAGTTGGTAAGAAGAAAACATTAGTGAGTATAAGGTTTATAGAATTGTACAACACTCTTTACCTTGCGTTCAATGGAGCACAAAAGCGATCTTTTGTCACATATCTTGTACATCCTAGTTGATAAGTCATGGAGAATAGCCTTGCGTCCTACATCATCTATCGTACGTAAATCCACAGTGAAAGTTACCTGAATTCATTCCATTCATCTCCATGAAATCATTTATAGTTCGTTCATTCAAAAAACCAACAAAGAAAGTAAAACTAAGGGAAAAAGAAGATTAATTTCTTTCACTTGCCTGGCCTGGGATGACATTGCTAGCACTTGGCCATGTTGAGATCTCTCCAACAGTACAAACAAGTGAATTAGCAAGGGATTCTATTGTGTCTTCGTTGCATTGACCGTTGCAAGATAAGTAATCTTTAGGGTTTTTGCAAACGCTTTCCAATAGTACAATCAGCTCCGCGGCACCAGTCATGGGGTCTTGACGCAGTGACATTGGAACTGTTCCAGCATGTCCTTGAGAGCCTTTAACAGTAACCTGTAGAATTCTGTCCATTTGGGTTTCAAATAGCCTTCTTCTAGATTAAACATAAATTTTTAGCTTTGAATACGTTACCTTGAGTCTTGTCTGTCCTGCAATTCCTTTTACTACTCCTAGAGGATAACCAACCCATTCAAGCACCGGCCCTTGCTCGATGTGAACCTATAGGAGAATATTCATAGTCAACACTCAACAATCATCATATTACCATTCGTGAGGGAAAAAACATGTGCTTCACTAGCTATCGAAAATACAAACAAAACCGTGCTTTGCGAGACGAAAGGAGATCAAGTAGGCTTTTACCTCTACATATCCCCAAACAGATGCAGGATCATACTTCAGCTGCATTAAGTTTTCCTCTGTTATGTCTATGGAGTTCTCTTTAAGAGCATCTTGCACAGAAATACCACTGAGCGAATGAATATGGAAAAAGTGAGTATGTATACTCAATCTACATAAAGAGAAGAAGTTAAGGTCCTCGAGTAAAACCTTTTATCAGTAACCTCCAACCGAGAAACTGGCATGATTCCAGCCAAAGCAGCACTGCCTAGGAAAGTAGACTGAAACCTCACTCCTTCCTCATCACTAAACGCAATCACCTGATTCGTTCATTGTGTGAAATGTATTATAACAAAAGTTTCTTGTTTATTATCTCTATTGGCTACAAAAGAGTAAATCAATTCGATGATGCGGTATATAAGAGGACAAACCTCAACAGGCCGCTTTAGTTCTCCCAATCTTCCACTTATTTTCAGAACCTTCAATGCAGAGATTGCAGAAATGATGCCTAGTGAGCCATCATATTTACCAGCATCGATCACTGTGTCCTGTTTAAACAAGTAAAGATCAATTGTCAGCATTATCATCTGATTCATAGAACAGGTAACAAGAAATGGTAAACAGAATTGTGAATTACCATATGGGAACCAATTAGAAGAGCCTGTGAGCTTCCATTCTTTGGTTCCACTCGACCATGCACATTTCCCATGTAATCAACCCATCTGCAAAAGAATCCAATCTTTTCATATCTACCCAAGAAAGTTGTGTAGGTAAGTCCACAAACAAAAGAGAGAGTAGATTTAAAAACTAACGTTGATAAACCAGCATCTTCCATCCATCGACGGATAAGATCTATCGCTCTTATTGATGCTGGACTCATAAAAGTCCTTTCTAGATGGGCAACTGCATCACTCACCTGCAAATTCAAGAAAATCAAACCAAAAAGACTAAGATATGTATCGGTATGATATTCATTTTTAATAATGAGTAAAACCAAGTATGATCTCCTGAGTTTTATTTAACTAGTCTACCCAATTTCCTCATATAAAATAAAGAAGCATTCACTTTTAAGATAACACTAGCTGGATTCCGTATAAGAAACTTAAGAAAAGAGTTTTTTAAAAGTATTTGATTAAATTAAGAACAACCCTGAGAGACAAGGACACCATCTATCTAAGTTTATCAATCATATTGGTCAAACAAGAAAACAAACATTCGAAGACATATGCCATAACAAGGTATAAATTATAAGAAATGACAAGATAACACAGCTTGAAGAGTGCAATCTTGAACGCAGAGAAGAAGTGAAAGCTAAGCAAATTTTAAAACATTGTTTTTGATTGATGAATACCTGTCCAAGCTCGTGTAACCTTGCTACAGCTTCGTCTCTTATGATTGTCTGATGCAGATCATGCTTAGTCCCTTCTGTTTCACCGATTCCTGTTTTGACAATTATTACAAATGAAATCAAATTGGTAAGAAACAGAGCAAAGCAATGGCGATGAACAAAGCAGCATCAAGAATTAGTAACAGATGATTGATTGGACCCAGAATCACAAATTTGAAAAGGTGAATCTTTTATATAGATTTCGAATCAATCAAGTAAATAGATAGAGAAAGAAGATAAATTTACCAAGAGAGATTTGAGAAGACGACGATGACGACGTAGAGGAAGAAGAAGACGACGACGATGAAGAGGAGAGAGCGAGAGGAGATAACAAAGAAAACACGAGACACCAAAAGAGTACAAGCGATGGATGATGATGTTGATGGTGATGGTTATGATGATGAAGATGGAAGCTAGTGTGATAGACATGGGAGAGGAAAGGATGAGATCTAGAGGAGGAGGAAGAAGGATGAGGAACCACCATGGCTGCCGATTGAAGAGCTTTTTAACGACGACGATGATAAATAAAGACAGCCACGGAACGGAACCACAACAACAGCACTACTGGCTCTTGAGAACGAGAAAGAGCTCTCCTTTAACCTTTATGGCTTCCTTCCACGGCTGAGAAGAGAGGAGGCGGCTGGTGGGACCCAGTAGTCCAACTTGGACGTCAGATAGGGCCCATATAAATTGATGACGTGGTGATTCTCAGTGGAATCTTGTGGAGACGGTCACATGTGGGTGAGGAATCATTTGCATGCGAAATTTAGACAAAAAAACTATTGTTTATAGTTTATTATGAAAATGCACACTAATCTTGAATCAACTCATGAGTGTTAAAATAAGAAGCCATAGGATCCAAACACAAACAAAACACTTCTAGGCGTTTAAGCATTCGTCAATTATCGCCTAACACATAAATTTCTTATCAAAACTTATGCAGTTTATAACAATTTAAATGCTTTTTATATTTTATACTATAGTTTTCATATTAAAATATAAATTGTCTAGTGAATCGTGATGCATTTTTCCTTTCACTTATAAAGCAAAAACGGGATCCACCATATATAACGAAGAAGATTCTAGCATCCAACCACAATCTCACGTGAGCGACGCACGTGACAACCTAGCTTCATTAAAATTTTAAAATTACTATCTCAAACTTGTATAAATTAAATAGCTCATGCATGTGATGAACTTTAGTCTCTGTCTGGGTGGGATTAATTAACATTCTTATCTGTCTATTTCAGTAAAGCTGTTAGAATTTGAGAAAACAATATTACTATTGGTTTAGAAGTGTTTATTATATATATTTTGTAAAGGAAAAAAAGAAGAAGAAGAAGAAGGATTTATTCTATCAGTTTCATGAGGCATCAAATAGTATATATACTTAAAATTCCATTTCAGAAAGACCACTATATATACTTTTTTTTTATCCGATGAATCGGATTCATACTTAAAAACTTTAAATTAGTTATGTTGTTGTGTATATGTTTATCTTAGCTTTGAAAATATGGATTTCGGTTGATCCAATAACGAAATATGATTATTGTTATCAACTTACGAGTTACGACGACACGTAAACCATTTTGTTAATTTGATTAATCCGAGTCAGATATGTTTGTAAATTGTCCAACTTTTGACGAAAACATATATAATTGCCCGACTTTAATTATTGCTTACCTAGTCATGCACATTAACATTCGTTAAATATAATAAACTAAAGGGTCATATAATTGTACATGAACATGTTTGTTGTTGATACGACAAATCTATTTTCAGGATATTCAAATATATTTTTTTTGGTGAGTAGGATATTCAAATATATTGTTAGCTTACTCATCACTTAAGTTTATATTGAACCAAGTGAAGAAAAAGAAGAAATGGATCACTAGTCTTCCAATCGGTCTTGCTGATCGGTTGCACAATCGATCAGGTAAGCTAAGGTTTTGCCGCACGGTTGTGTCAATCGGTTGCACAAACGATCGAAGCCTCATTACACTATCGATCGGTTATGACGATCGGTTGCACAACCGATTGAAGATCCTCGCCCGTACGGCCAACTTTTAGTCCGTCCGTACCATTGGAGTTTTGTCTCGGCCCGCGATGTTTTCTCTCGGCCATTTAGCCTTGGATCCTCTCCAAGATGCTTCTAGAAGCCTCCGGATCCTTCCCGAGCCTTCCTTGTAGCCGTTGCAAGTTCAAAGGAGGAAGAAGACAAGAGTTGCCTTATGCCTTGCTTTATGACGCGTCTCCTTGCTTTATGACGCGTCTTTGACTTGCTTTTGGGTCTTCATGACCGTTGTAAATAGGATATCCTCCTTGGATATTCCTTTTGTATCCCCTTTAAAAGGGAACCTATGTAATTACCAAATCAAGTAAGAAGAGATAATCTCTCTCTTTCTCATCATCAAATCTTTTCCTCTCTAATCTCTCACTCTCATTTCCGCAACACTTAGTCCCATTCTCGCAACCTAATCTCCACATTTTTACATGGTATCAGAGCCATAAAGCTCCACATACTCTATTCTCCGAAACTCTCCTTGCAAATCTTCTTCTTCCTCTCCGATCTTCATTCTCTTTTCGATTCAATCTCTTCTCACCATGGAGAACACCAAGATTCGTGCTCCGGTTACCCTCAAAGGAGGAAACTACTTGCTTTGGGCAAGAACCATGAAGACCATCTTGTGTGGTCGTGGATTCTGGCCTCACATCATCAAGAGTGAAGCGCCAAGAGAGACAACCACAACCGAAGATGGCTTGGAGATCGCCCTTGTTGATGAAGACAAGTGGTTCCAAGAAGACCAAATGGTCTTATCCGTTCTCCAAAACTCGCTTGAAGCATCAATCCTTGAAGGATACTCCTATTGTGAGACTCCCAAAGATCTTTGGGAAACTTTGCAAAATGTCTTTGGAAACCAATCCAACCTAAGCCGAGTTTTTGAGATCAAGAAAGCCATCAATGAGCTGACCCAAGGAGATATGGAGTTTACTCAACACTTTGGGAAGTTTCGGTCTCTTTGGACAGAGCTTGAGATGTTGAGACCCAACACTCTTGATCCGGCGGTCATCAATGAGAGGCGTGAGCAAGACAAGGTCTTTGGTCTACTCTTTACCTTGAGTCCGGCATACAACGACCTCATCAAGCATCTCCTCCGTGCCGATAAGCTCCAAAACCTTGAAGAAGTGTGTTCTCAAATCCAAAAGGAGCAAGGATCTCTCGGGCTTTTCGGTAGCAAAGGAGAGCTTGTCTCGGGCAACTCAAGCGAGCTCGCATCCGCCAACCAGGGGAACTTCAACGCCAACCGCGGGAAAGCTCCATGGTGTGATCATTGCAAAAGGAGTGGACATGCCAAAGAGAAGTGCTGGATCCTTCACCCTCACCTAAAGCCAGCAAGAAGAGAGCCGAGAGCAAATCAAGCTACCGGAGGGAACCTTGGAGGCCAAGAGCAAGCCGGAACATCAAGTCAAGCCTTGGGAGGAAATGGAGCCGCAATGATGGCTTCTTCCGACCTAGTGAGACGTTCCGACCTCGATGCACTCATCAAGGCTCTCAAAGAGTCTTCCGGTAACGCTTATCATGCTCTTAGTGCTTTAAAACCTCTTATTGTTGATTCGGGAGCCTCTCACCATATGATTAGTGACTCTAAATTGATGAATAACATTGAACCGGCTTTAGGAAATGTCATAATTGCAAATGGTGATAAGATTCCGGTTAAAGGAGTAGGAGATTTAGAATTGTTTAGCAAAAAGTCTAAAGCTTTCTATATGCCTACATTCACTTCGAACTTGTTATCCGTTAAGAAAGCTACTACCGACCTTAATTGCTATGCTATCTTTGGTCCTAATGATGTTCATTTTCAGGATATTGAGACTAGTAGAGTGCTTGGTCATGGAGGTACAAAGGATGGTCTTTATGTTCTTAAAGATACAAAGCTTTCCACTCCTCTATCTTCTCACTTTAGTTCAATTCTTGTTAATGCGAATAATGCTATTTGGCATGCTAGATTAGGTCATCCTCATTCTCGTGCCTTAGGCCTTTTGTTACCAAGTGTTTCCTTTAAGAATGATGAATGTGAGGCTTGTATTCTTGGTAAACATTGCAAATCCGTTTTTCCCAAGTCTAATACTATCTATGAGAATTGTTTTGATTTGATTCATTCGGATGTTTGGACTTCACCTTGCTTATCTAGAGAAAATCAGAAATACTTTGTCACATTCATTGATGAGAAGTCGAAATATACTTGGTTAACATTACTTCCTTCTAAGGATAGAGTTCTTGAAGCTTTTACTAATTTCCAAAACTATGTCACTAACCATTACAATGCCAAGATAAAAAATCTTTAGGTCCGATAATGGTGGTGAATATACAAGTCATGCCTTCAAGCAACATTTGGCCAAGCACGGGATAATCCATCAAACAAGCTGCCCTTATACACCACAACAAAACGGAGTAACGGAGAGGAAGAATAGGCATCTTATGGAAGTAGCCCGATCCATGATGTTTCACACCAATGTTCCTAAACGCTTTTGGAGTGATGCGGTGGTGCTAACTTGCTACTTGATCAACCGAACACCAACCAAGATCCTACAAGATTCCTCTCCCTTTGAAGTACTTAACAAAAATAAACCGTCTATCAATCACTTACGTGTGTTTGGTTGTGTGTGCTTTGTTCTTATAGGTGAACAAAGGAATAAGCTTGAACCTAAGAGTGTCAAAGGCATGTTCATTGGGTACTCAATCACTCAAAAAGGATACAAGTGCTATATACCGGAAACCAAAAAAGTCCTTGTCTCAAGAGATGTGAAGTTTGTTGAAGGTAAAGGCTACTATGAAGACAAGAATTGGGAAGACATTCAAGATCTCACCCATTCACCTTCGGATAGAGCTAGCAACCTCCGAATTATCTTGGAAAGACTTGGTGTAAGCAACTCTCAAAGTCACACCAACTCACCAAATCCTAATCTGGAGCCTACTCAACAACAAGAAACATCACAACATGAGGAAGAAGAACATTTACAAGAAGAAGAAAATATTCAAGAAGACAATCTTGAAGAAGAAGAGATTCCAAGTGATCATGAGGAAGAGACTACTTTATCCGAAGAGGAAAATTTGTCTACATCGGATCATAATGAAGGCTCTACATCTCAAGAAGCACCTATAGCTCTAAGGAGAAGTCAAAGACAGAAGTTCCCTCCATCAAATTGGAAGAACACTCGGGTTTACTACAATAGTCAAGCCGTAGCTCACCCCATTCAAGCCGTGTGTACAATCGCTCATTTTCCCGAAGAACATCAAGTCTTCCTTGGACAAATTAACCAACATTGGATTCCTCAAACCTATGAAGAAGCTATCCAACATCAAGTATGGAGAGACGCTATAGCCGCTGAAAGACAAGCTATGGAACATAACCATACTTGGGAGGAAGGAGAGTTACCTAAAGGCAAGAGAGCGGTGACATCCAAATGGGTCTTCACTATCAAGTACAAGAGCAATGGGGACATTGAACGCTACAAAGCTCGGCTTGTTGCAAGAGGGTTCACTCAAACGTATGGGGTGGATTACTTGGATACATTTGCCCCGGTTGCAAAGCTCCATACGGTTAGAGTGGTTCTCTCTTTAGCTACCAACTTGGAG